CGTGCGCGTGCCTGTAGGCTGTCTGTCTGTACGTAACACTCGCCAGGGCACGCAAGCTGTGTCTGCGCTGCTGGCTGCGGGGCTGGTCCAGACGCTCCCGGGCTTGGGGGTGGCGTTTTTCTCCTCTCCTGCTGCATGCCTTTGGCTTTGTAACCAGGTTTATTGTCTTCCTTCTCTGTGTGTTTGTTTGACGCTCCCGCTGACGGACTCTGGGCATGGCAGAAGTCCTCCAGCTCCGCATCCTCCGAGGCCTCGGAAACCTGCCAGTCAGTTAGTGAATGCAGCTCCCCCACCTCGGTTAGTTCTAGCTCTACCGCAGGGGCGTGCTCAGGCGGTGAAAAGGTGAAGCCTTCATCAGCAACGTCCCCCTCTCTCTGTCCCTCTGCCTCGCTCTGTCTCTCACTTCACGGGGGTTACGTTTCCCAGGCAGACCCCCAGGGGCAGCACAATGCCTGGCACCTGTGGGGCTCTTGGGAGACGCACCCCTCCCATCCCATTAATCTCCCCCTCCATCTCCACTCCTGGGCTGCCCTGGCTCTCGGCTGGCTTTGTGCTTTGTCTCGGGCTCTGAAGCCCTGGTGTGCGTCTGGCTTCCCTTCCCCCCGGCTGGGGGGGACATGGCACGGAGGGGAGCGCAGGGTTTCCTCACCACCGGTTTCTTGCTGTGTTTCAGCTGAAACCTATGAATGTAGCTCATGTGGCCAGGACTGAAGGAAGCTCCCGAAGAAGCCTGAGCCTGGTGTGTATTTCCCAGCGTGTCCGTGGGCAGGGCCCTGTCGGAGGTCTGGAGATGGGAGACGTTGGGGTCACGTCTCTCCTCCCTGCAGGGGGCTAGGGCAGGGCCCTCCCCTGCGGCAGACTCTCCGGTGCTTTGCGTCTGGAGGGCTGGCTCTTCACCCCTGGGCTGGAACTGGGCCGGGCTATGCTGCCCGCACTGACCCAGCCGGGGCGAGGCTGGCGGCCAGGGGTGGAGCAGCGGGACATGTACTTGCCGTATGTGAGTGTCAGGGCAGCCTGGCACCACGTGGCCTGCAGGTGCTGGGTGCCAGGCTGGGTGCAGCCGTATTTCCGATGCTGCTGGGGGGCTGCGGGGCTCCTGCGCTGGTGGGGCCGGGAAGCAGCAGTGACGAAGGAGCAGAGACACCTTAGGTGTTGATTATTGTCTGTCTCTCCCGCTCCCTGAGCTACCCCAGCACTCCCCGAGCAGCCTGGAGCTCCAGGCCAGCAAACCCGCTGCTTGGCCCACTGGCCTGGGGGCTTCACCCTCTGTGCTCCTTGGCTGGGCTTCCCGTATGCCAGGGAGCGGGGCTGCATTCCCCTCGCCTGCCCCTTGGGTCGCCTCTCAGCCCTTACCCTGGGGTCCCCAGCCCAGGCCCTGTCACTGGGGGGTCAGGCCGTCCTCTGCACGTCTTCTCCGGCTCCTGCGGGGCTGGGGGTGCAGGCTCCACCCAGAGCTCCAGGACATGTTGGCCTTCCAGGAGCAACGGCAGTGAGTCTTGGAGCCTGGCTCTGCCAACCGGGGCTCGCGCTACGGCCGACGCTGCAAATAGCTGTACAGACCTTTGGGCCGGGGCTCGCCAACCAGCCCTTCCCCAGGCTCCAGCCCGGCCAGACACCCACGCGGCTAGTTTCAGCACTGGGGCCTGAGCCCGAGTTTGTAGTCCGGGCTCTGAGACTTGCTGCAGTGGGGGGACGAGGGGGGGGTTCCCTCCTTCCAGCCACCCCCTCTCTCAGCCCCTTCACCTTTCTCTAGCCACCACATGCCTCCTTTCTTCCCACCCCAGCTGAGCTTGGCCTTGGCAGGCCGTTCCATAGGCCAACCTCAGAGGGAAGCTGAGACGTGGGGGGGCACCTGGGACTGCCCCGAAATGGGCCCAGCCCTGGCCCAAGTGCGATCCCGAGACGAGCGAGGTCAGGGGGAGCAAGTCATGTCACTGACTGCCGGGAGGCTGGAGCAGAGGCTCTGTGGTGCCAAGGAAGGGGGCACATAGAATGGGGCTCGCACAAGGGGCTGAGCCGGCATGTGGGGACATGGGGTGAGGACTGCAAAGATGGATAGAAATGTGGCCAGGAGGGAGATAGATGGGGGTGAGTGGGAAAGGCCAGGGAGGGGGATGGGTGGGGATTTGCAGGGAGGAAAATGGAAGGGGGTGGGCAGGGAGGGCAATGGGCAAGGATGGGTGGGGAAGGGGGATGGGCAGGAAGGGGGATGGAAGGAATGGGTGGGGTTGGTATCTTGCCCAGATGATGGTGTGATTGTGGCTGGAGGTTATTACTAGGCATTGGGCTGAATGGTCCAGACTAGATCCCCCTCGGGACTCCATGTACACACATGCGCGCACACACACACACATGCACGGCCTTTGTACTCTACATGTGGCCGTGGAGAGGCTTTGGTACACAAGGGAGCGAGACCTTGGCAGAGCAGCCCGTCCATCCAGGGTGGCGGCAGGACGGTTCACACAGCCGCTGCCTCTGCTAATTTGGTTTCCCTCGTTTTGCAGTGCTCACTCCAAAGCAGCCAGCCAGTCATTTCTCAGTTACCACCAGGACCCCTCCCTCCCCCCTGCCCCCTGCACTCTCCTCTCTTTCTTTCCATGCTCACTAATCTTTTGCTACATTCTTGTCCCCCTGTGACCCCAGCCCCCTGCCTTACCAGACCTGCCTTGCCTTTTGCAGGATTGGTCCAAGGCCAGTCCTTACGACCAGCCGGTGGTCACCACCCTGCAGCGGAGGAAGGACCGCGTGGAGCATCTGCGGGAGGCCGAGTTGGGCTCCGCCAGCATGGGGTATCCGGGAATTAACCTGGAAGACGTGCCCAGGCCCAGGATGTCCCCAGCTACCATCGCTGCCAAGGTACAGCTGTTAAGGAGTGAGGGGAGGGCAACATGGGACCATGGAGACTGTTTGCTGCACTGAGTGCCGGGTTCGAGCCCTGCTCTTGTGCAGTTCACTTTGCAGTTCGCTGGGAGTGCCTGGATGGCCAGACCCTGCCCTGGGGCTTGTTTGCTGCCCCTCGCTGGGGCCGGCAGGCCGTGTGCACAGACCCGCTGGCTGGGAATCGGCCCTGCCCGACTTGCAGTATTCATGTCAGTTGCTCCTGACTCCCAGTCATGCCCAGAGACCAGGGTGAGAGGAGCAAACTTCTCTGACTGGGAGCTAAGGCAGATTGTGACGGGTCTCACTGGTTCTCCAACAGCATGGCGAGGAGGTGTCCCCCGCTGCCAGCGACCTGGCCATGGTGCTCACCCGTGGCCTGAGCCTCGAACACCAGAAGAGCAGCCGGGATTCCCTGCAGTACTCCAGTGGCTACAGCACACAGACCACCACACCGTCCTGCTCAGAAGACACTATCCCGTCTCAAGGTAGCCCTCCGTGCAGCCGGGCTGGCAAGGGGGCTGGGCTTTCCAGGCCTTGGAGCCAAGTGCTCAGCCAGGGCTGATGCCCAGGACTCACTGAGATCCACTGCTCGCGTGGCCAGGCCACTGCTGCAGGGATCTCAGGATGGAGCCACTGGGTTCCTTCTGCCAAAGGGATCAAACCGGGGAGAATAAATCAGAAGCTGCTGTGGATGGGGCCAAGCTGGGGGCTGGGAGGGAGTCGGGAGCTCCCATCATGCCGCAGGGCGTTCTCTACATCCAGTTTGCAAACAGTATCTAGAGTCATAGAACTGTGGGGCTGGAGGGGACCTCGAGAGTGCACCCCCCTGTGCGGAGACCAGCCCGCACAGGGGTTTGTCCTACCTGCTCTTAAAACCTCCAGAAGTGGGGTTTCCTTGGTGACCTTGGTACTGAACACGTAAAAAACCGTTCCTTGTCACAAGCTGGAGCAGACCATGTCTTCGGCTTTTTCAACATTCGTTGCAAAATGTGGTTTTCCGTTTGCCCACCAGCTTGTGTTTGCATGGTGGTTTGTGGAGTGGTGGGTGGGCTTTGGTCACATTTGCAGCCATGACTGTGGGGTGGGGTGTTGTGGCTGTGTTGTAAGTGGTGTGTGTGTGTTTTGTATGATTTTTGTGTTATGCTTTGTTTGCTTATTTCTGTGTTGTGTTATGTTTGTGTTGCGTGTAATGTGGTTGTTGGTGTGTGATGTGATGTTTTGATTGTGTGGTGTGTAGTCTGGTTGTTATGTTTGTATTGTGTTTTTTTTATAGTAAGTTGTGGTTGTATTATGTGTAATGATGTGTATTTTGGATCATGCTGATTACAGGTGCTGGCAATTTGGCTCTGTGGTGTCGTTGAGTTGCTGGTGGTCATTGTGTGTGGAATGGGTTTGTTGCTGGTGGTTCTGTGTATGTAATGCGGTTGTTGTCTTGCTGGTTCATGTTTTGTGGTTGTGTTGTGCATGCTGTGGCTGGTGGTTTTGTAGCTGGAGGTTGTGGTTTGTGTGTCACGCTGATGTTGGTGATTGTGGTGCATGTATTGTGGCTCTGGTTGTGTTGCTGCTGGTGTTGTGGTTGTGGCATGTGTGTGGCATGCTGATGCTATGTATTGATTGTGTTGCACACGTGGTTGTGTTGCTGCTGGTGGTGTGGTTGTGGTGTGTGTGCGCCATGCTTATATGATGTGGTGTCGGTTGAGTTGCTAGTGGTCGTGTTGCACATGTTGTGGCTGTGGTTGTGTTACTGCTGGCGGTTTTGTGATATGTTTGTGCCATGCTAATGCTAGATTGTGTTGATTGTGTTGCATGGGTTAGTTTTTTGGTGGTTGTGCCTGTGTTGTGCTGACACTGCATATTGTTGGTGATTGTGTTGCATGTGTTGGGTGTGGTGGTGGTGTCGAGCTGACACTGCGTGTTGTTGGTGATTGTG